TGCGCCATAGATGGTCAGTGGTTGCTTTTTCAGAAGTAGTTTGCCAGCAATTTCTTCCAAGGAAACTTTGGATGAACCCAAACTTGCAAGTTGTCAGACAGCATTTGAGCACATTACCCACTTGCACCCCCCAGCAAACACCTCCCCCCACCCCCCAGTCAGTGTAAACATGGAGCTTTACATGGTGGGAGATGGGAACATTCAGAAGTCAGGTGCTGGAGAAGCACATAGAGCAGGGTTACAAAAGGAAAAAGAAGAACCACACCTGTTGCCGACTCACAGTGACCCTGGGTAAAACTGCCCCTTGGGGTTTCTGAGACGCTCTGTCTTTGCAGGAGAAAGCAGCTCATCGTCCTTCCATGGAGATGCTGGTGGGTTGGAGTGTTTGCAGTTAGCAGCCCTCTGAGTAATCTACTACACCACCAGGACTCTAGAATCTGCATTAGTGAGCTTAAACTTGATCTAGAGGGCAACAGGGAACCGCTGGAGAAAGTCAAGTGTGGAACAGACTAAATTAGACTGGAATTTAGGAATATTTCTCTGGATTCAATATAGAAAATGGATTGAAGAGGGCCACACCTACTTCAGAGAACCCAATTCATGTGTTACCATAAGCTAAAGGAAAGAGCACAGGCAAGGCTAAGATCATTCTGTACTTAATAACATTGGACTTGGAGATTTTTTAATTTAATATATCATGATTAGTATCTTCTAATTTCACTAAAAAGTCTTGGCAACCATTTTTAATGGTGGCATTGTATCTCATTGTCTAAATTTATTTATCCCTGATTTATATAACAAGTCTTCTGTTTTTGAAGACTGTTTCTAAGTTTTTGTTTTTCTAAAAAGAGTGGGATGAATAGTTTGGTACAAAGATCGTCTCCACATTTTTAAAAGAGTTTCACAAGTGTAAGATTACCGCAATCTCTTCTGGCACAGGGCAAATGAGATGTAAAATACACACACACACACACACACACACACACACACACAACAAACGAGGTTTGTTGTCAGTCAATATCGCACCTTTTTTGAAATGAGAAAACCACTCATATACTTGAGTTTTTCCCATAGCACTGTCCTTGTAAATTGTGTTCAACATCACAACAGTTCCTGCGATATTTTCCTGAGCAGGAAACAAAATTTCACAGCCACATGCTGTTCTCTTAAATCTGCCATGACAAAAAAACGAGGTCTGAGCAAAACTGCTTTTACAAAAAAACTCACTGTGACCAGAGAGAACCTTCCCAGGCGACACCACTGGGTGCACTAACTCAGAGTGAGTTGCTTGATGCTCACCTATCAGGAAAAATGCATACTACAAAAGCTCTGCTCTGCCTAACGCAATTCCGGTTTGGGGGGGTACCCCCTCATATATATATGTACACCATATATATACACACACACACAATATACATATATAGTAAAAGGTATACATATCATAAAAGATGTACATGTCAAATGTATTACATATACTGTATATCATATATAACAAAATGAATATATGCATATATATTTAGTTTCAAATGGGCACATATATATATGTATATAATTTCAGATGGGCAAGGCAATATTTCCAAAAAATTTTGCGTGAGTATGTTTTATTTTGTCCTAAAAGTCCACTCCAGACTGCTGATTTTCCAAGTAAATTATCCTCTAGACTGCACTGTGGGTGAGGCAATGGGCTACTAACCACAAGATCAGCAGGTCAAGCCCACCAGCAGCTGCATGGGAGCTTCATGGGAGGACAAAGAGTTAGCGTCTCTGAAACCCGGTGTACAATGGCTCTGAGTCAGAATCGATGTAATGGCAGATGGCTTGTTGCGTAGGACAGGAAAGGCTGTGGGTCTGAGCTCCACAGCACACTGCACTATCCAGGCTAAAGGTCAAGTGCTGCAGAAGGGCAAAGATAAAAATAGGATGTGGCCCTGGATAAATTGAAGGGGTTGTTCAGGGAAAGTGAGTCATGCCAGGTTAGCACCCACATCCTCCCTGAGGCCACAGTGACCTCCTCAGCCAGGAAAGGCAGATGGGTTCCACTAGGAAATTAATTTTCATAACAATAAAAGATCTGATAATTCTACAAACAACGTGAGGTTGTTTCATTCTTGCAGCACTTTTGTTCCCAATGCCAACCCCCCGGGCACTCCTTGGTCAGACTGCTCCTTGTCGAGAAGGCCAGGACCCTGGAGAAGGAAAGCAGAGCCCCTGCAAAGGTGAGAAGACCAAGGAGCTGGCCTCCCCACAAGGTCACAAGGGCGCAGCATGTCTCCGTGGATGAGGAGAAGGATCAGTACACTCCATGCAAGGGTTGCGAAAGGACTGTACACAAGTCCCTCTTCCCAATCCTGGAGGTTTCTCAGGAAACCCAAATAATAAATACCACTTGGACTGTTTATAAGGTTTAACCTTTTCAGGAATTTTTCAAAATATTCTTTCTTGCTATGAAAGCTAAACTTTTCATTTCAAAGAAGGAGAAATTAGACACCCCTTTACTTTATAAAGGAAACCCTGGTGGTGTGGTGGTTACGTGTTGGGCTGCAATCCTCATGGTGGGCAGTTCAAAACCAGCAGCAGCTCCGTGGGAGAAAGACTGGGCTTCCTATTCCCGTAAACAGTTACAGTCTCAGAAACCTTCAGGGGGTCGCTGTGAGTCAGCATGGACTCGATGGCAGTGAGTTTGGTTTGGAGTTAGTTTACAAAGTCTCCGCATAAATCATAGTCTGGCTGAGCCTTCTGTTGGGTCACCTCTCTTCCAAATGTGGTGGGTGAAGTAGCTGTGTTCCAAATTTTCCTAACATAGACAAATTATATTTGCAGTGTGTGTTAGGGCAGTTTGATTAGAGAAACAAATCCAATGTCACTCATTTATGTGTAAGAGAGAGCGTTGTATCAAGAAGTAACTATATATCAAGCAAACATCCCAGCCAAGTCCAGATCAAGTCCGTAAGTCCAATACTAGACCATAGGTTCCTATTCAGACTCACACAAACCCATCAATGATGCAGAATCCAGGAAGATCACAGGTCGGTTGGTGCAAAGTCATGTGTATCCAATGGTGGTGGCTGCATCACAGAGCTTACAGCAACCAGAGTCAGCCAGCAGGAAGGGTGAAGCAGGAAGAGAAGGGGAGGTTCCCAGGATTCTCCTTATGAGAAGGCCACGCCCACAAGGACAGGTTGAATTCCATCCCTACACTTGAAGTATAACTTCAAGTTAATATGAAATTATGTAACTACCACACAGTGCTTCATCATTCTGTTGAAATGTTTCTGTTGGCATTTATTTCATCACTTCCTGGAGCCCTTTTTCTGGCTAATGCATGGAGATCGCTTGATAGAATTTTGCAAGACCAATGACTTCTTAATAGCGAATACCTTTTTCAACAACACAAAAGAAGACTATCTGCAAAGACTTCTCAAGATGGAATATACAGAAGTCAAATTGACTATCTCTGTGGGCATAGACAACAGAGAAGCTCAATATCAGCTGCTAACACCAAGCCAAGGACTGACTGTGGAGCAGACCATCAATTGCTCATTTGTAAGCTCAGGTTGAAGCTGAAGAAAATTAAAACAAGTCCATAAGGGCCAAAATAAGACCCTGAATTTAAAGAACATCTCACCTGAATTTAAAGAACATCTCAAGGACAGATTTGATGCATTGAACACTAATAGGAGGATATCAAAAGCTAATGCTAGGGCATATATAGACAGTTAATAAAGATGTGAATGAGTATATATTTCTGGAGATAAATTTGATAATATTCCTAAAGAGAGTTACAAATCCTTTGCCATAAGGAAATAAAAGGACAGAGATTTATGTATATTCATTCAACTATTAAATATAATAGCAAATAACTGACAATAACTTATGCCAAATACCTGATAACACCGTCTCTTCTAGTGGAGGTGTTTTGCTGTTGTTAGTTGCCAGCTAGTTGATTCTGGTTCCTGGCAGCCCCTTTGTGCTGAGCAGAACTTCTCCAGTGGGTTGTCTTCTTCTTCTTTTTTAACAGTTTTATTGGCATTTCATCCACATATCATACAATTCAATAGTTGAATCATCTCAAGAAGAGCCGTACAATCTTCACCACAATTATTTCAATGGGCTTTCAAGGCTGTCCCTCTTTGGAAAGAGACGGTCCTCTGAGATGCCTCTGGGTAGATTCAGACCGCCAATCTTTAGGCTAGTAGTTGAGAACTTAACAGGAATATAGTGTTTAGGGCTGTAAATATCTGAGAATACCATCCATCTTGGTAAAGACTCTTGGGGAAGAACGTATGTTCTCCTGCTTGTGGGTGGAGTGTTCTATAAATATCAATTAGGTCAATTTAGCTGATAGTGTTCAAATCTACACTTTTCCTGATGTTTTGTGGACTTACTTTATCCATTCTTAAGAAAAAATATATGGAAATTCCTAACAAATTGTAGGGTTGTCTATTTTTCCTTGTTTTGTTTCATATATTTTGAAAAGCATAAACAAATGTAATCTTGAGTGCTATGTCTTCTTAATGATTTGAGCCCCTTAATCATTACAACCTTTGCTACCTGGTAATATTCTTTCTGTTATATATTATTTTATCCTTTTACTTTTAACCTATTTATGCCTTTATCTTTAAACTTACATTTCCTGAAGGCAACATGTCCTTGAGTCTTGTTTTCTTATCATAATTGAGTTAATTAAAACCCATATGAGTCCATTATGGGTTTTCTGGTTTTGATTTGCTTTGAGTTAATGATTTTTCATTCACTATTTTGATGCAGCACTTTGTGTTCTTAAAAGTGGGAAATTTTTCTTTCATCATTTATTTTTAATAGTGGCATGTTTTTAACAAAAATAATAACTATGGTGTCTGGATTGTTATAAGAGCTGTAAGAGCCCCAATAAAGTAATCTTAAAAAAAAAAAAAGAGCAGGAATACTATTTTGAGAACGGCTGTGTGTGATCGCCCTCTAGTGGCCATATTAAATAATGTTATAAAATTAAAGCAGCTCTTCGGATGTGAATTTCTGCATGGTACACAGAGCATATTAAAAAGCTGTGCTAGAAGGACATTGGGCCTCCACTCAAGTACTCCCTCAACACAAGAATACTTTCTTCTAGTAAATTGGCATTCTATGATGCTCACCTTCCTGACACAA